GTTAAAAGGGAGTTTTTCCTCTCCATTGTCGCTACAAGCATGCTTAGTGTGAGGGATTGCCTTTGAGTTGATGAGTTGATGCAATCAACTGGTTTTCCTTAGATAGAAAACTTTGAATCAGCTTGACTGTATGATCTGGTGAACTGTAAAGTGCCTTGAGATGACATGTGTTGTGTTGTGAATTGGCGCAATATAAATAAACTGAATTGAACAATTTGGGTATAATTTCTGCTCCAGGTGGGTCATTCTTTTAGCTAAAGGGATGTTTTAGAGTCACTACACAGTTAATCAATCGATTACTAAATTAGTTAAAGATTATTTCAATATTCGATTCATCTGATGAAATGTTTCAGCCCTAATTAAGCAGCTCTATCCTTGTTTATTTGGACTCGATCAATTTATTAAATCTTTATGTTTTACTCTAATTCAGAAATCACAATTGATGTGAATTTACATTTACAAATTGGACCTGTGTTCAGACTGTCATGAAAAGATCAGATAAAGATAAAAAAAATATATAAAAAAAATTGGATATGGGTCACGTCAGGCTGCAGTGTGAACGTAGCCTAGGTGTGTTAAAAATGTTGTGTCACTTTAATAACTGACTTGCCAGTGGTACATGCCACCTGTGAAAGTGGCATGCAAGTCGAATTTTTGCTCTAGGGACTGCTGAAAGGATGAAGAATATACTTTATGCAGTTGTGTTGGTGTATAATAACACTTGAAAAACTAATTAGGGAAGGCATCCCCAAAGTTGTTATTTGAGGACCAGTGTCCTGCAGGTTTTAGAGGTTTCGCTGCTTTAGCACAGCTGATTCTGGTGACTGTAGTTCAGGAAAAGCCTGTTAATCAACTAATAATGTAAATCAGCTTTGCTGGAGCAGAGAAACCTCTAAAACCTGCAGGACAGCGGCCCTCGAGTACCGACTTTGGGGATGCCTGAATTAGGGTATCACCTAAATAGAGTCCATTTAGCTGTGCAGCATGGTGGAGCAGCCTAACCTCTCTGCTCTGCCACTGAACTACTCTAAAAACAGTAGTCTGTTTTATAGTCCTTCACTGAAACAAAGTGGCAAATAGTCTGACAGCACGGTACAGCAAAATACTTTATCTTTTAATTATAGTTTTACATATCTGTACATAAGTATTATATATATGTTATGTATCTTTTTTTATTAAGTGAACTAGGCTTAATTTTGTTATAGCTTATAAATAAATGCAATAATGTGTAAGAAAACTTGTTTGTTTTTTAGACAGGCAATGAGTTGTTAACCACAAATAAATATGCTCTTCATGTTGTCAAAAAGAGCTTTTTGTTACAAGAGAAAATTGTTTTTTTTAGAAACAGCTACTTATCAATTATTGTTGATCAATAAGATAATATAAGATAATCAACTTTTTAATAACTTATTAATTAATAGCATCCCAAACAGCTTGATATCCGAATTCAAGGTTTTACCACAAGAATTTCATACCAGCCCATGTGTTTTTTGTAATAGGGCTGCAACTAATGATTATTTAGCAACTTGATTAATCTGTTGATTATTTTTCTGATTAATTGATTAATAATCAGATAGCTAAAGAAGACTTTTTTTTATTAAATTAAACCAGGTGAAACTAAAACATTTCCATTTGAGTTCTGGACAGAGCACACGAGGGGCGTTAAATAAGTAATGCCCCGACCCACTTCCAGATGTTTGATCCAGCTGAAATTTTGCATGTGACGTTGTTCGAATCTCTATAGATTGAGTAGCAAATCACAGCTTTGAACTATTTGTGTTTTCTGACTTACAGGTGTTTGAACTGAGAAAAGTCTGAAATGGAGCCTGTTGAGTGTCGAGCAGCGATCAGGTTTTTCTTTTGGAAAGGACTCACACCACGGGAGACTTTTGATGAAATTAAAGTAACTTATGGTGATGATGCAGGTTAAATGACCTTGCAAAATGTTTTACAAGGTTATATTATGGGACATTATCCCTATAAGTTATTTTCATTTGATCAAAAGTCTCCCATTGTGTGCATCTTTTTAAATGCAAAAACTCAGACTTGACTCAGTTTTAACAGCAGTAAATCAGAAACCACAATTAGTTCAGAGCTGTAATTTGCTATTTAATCTATAGAGATTAAAAATACTTCACATGCAAAATATCAGCTCGATCAAACATCTGGAAGTAGGCCAGGGGCATTACTTATTGAATGCCCCTTGTATTGACAGACAAAAACTTTTTTCATCTTAAATGCAAAACGTTTTATAGATTATTTTACAAATTTGATACAATTACTGCTGTAGGTGGGTTGCCCTGTCAGCTAAAGCCATGTTTTACAGTCTATATACTCCATGTACCGGTAATGATCAATCGATTACTAAATTAGATTATTTTTATTTCGATAATCGATTCATCTGATTGATTGTTTCAGCCTTGGCAAACAGACTGACTGCAGATCAGGATTATGACTCAGGTGATTGTAATCCTTGCAGCTACATTTCCATGGAAGCTGCTTCCTTGGCATCATTATAATAATCTATCAAAGATCCTCAGAGGGATTTATTATCCAGATGTTGCCGTGGGACTAAAAACATTCACAGACACCTTAGATGTTCTTGGTATCCCAGCTGGGAGCTGCACACTGAGATCCACTGTCTCTGGCCAACACTGTCTTCACCAGTGCTGAATATCAACGAGATGCAAACGATGCAAAAGACTCCTCGCTGCAGCGGTTTAGCAACAGGAGGCGTTTTCACCATCTTTATCTGTGACCGACCCATGCTTTTATTTGTTGCCCCTGCATTGTTCCACCCATGTCGCTTCTAAGTGGATTAACCAGAATAACTGGCTCGCCAACACTTTCCTGTCAAACCACAGCACTAACTAGCTGCCACTCACTGACAGTCTATGGCGTCTAATTCCTGGCGTCAATGTAAACACTGAGCAAAAAAACATTAGGCAAATTCATACAGGCGTGCTCATTTATTGACAATATTTTTAATTCAATTACGCGTGGGTCTGAAAACACGTTTTAAAAGAAAAAATCTGTAAAATATATTTAAGGGGCTGGTTAATTAGCCTATGAGTCCTGTCCATTAAATACACGGAGCCATTCTTACCGTTCTGTGGTACATTCGTTGCTCCACTGTATTCTAAATCCTCCCTTTTCTCTCCAATGTGTTTCTTTCCGTCAGCAGTGGGATACAGGTGAGGAGAACATAAGAAAGAAGCAGGAATTCGTCCGGTTTCGCTGTGTTTCGGTTAGCCGGACCACAGAGCTACATGCTAGCACCTAGCAGCCTGATGTCCGATGCGCTCAGGTGGATCCAGGGCTGCCTGTTCCATCCCAGCAGCTCGACGTCAGCGCCAGGACCCGCTGCGTCACGTGGGAGAGTGAAAATGAATCGGTTCCTACAACTGACAGCTCCGATTTGACTGGACGGAGCGTGAAAATGGCGTTAACCGGCGCCCCCGTCCCCTCCCCGGCTAGACTGATGTCATCTGGACCGGATTAGAGAGAGAGCTGCGGTGACAGTAATCAGCAAGATCTCTGCGACAATCTGTAGAGCTGGAAGAGAGGAGGTGCCAGTATCCAATAACATTTTGGAATTAAAACTATAATACTATCAAAAATCTTCAGATGATAAATGAAAAGTGTTAAGTGAGACTGTGGCGCCACCTGGAGGAGAACATGGGAAGCCAACAAAATCTGTTGCACCCCTTGATCTCTATTCACTACATTGCTGATCGCCCGTTGGTAGTATGGGACATAGATATCCATAATAAAGCCTTTATTATGGATATCTATGGTATGGGATGTAAGTGAAGCCACCGGCCGCCATATTGGTACTCCCTATGTAGACCGTTATCAATAAACAATATGTGAGCTACGGCATCAGACAAAGATGATGTTCTCATTTTCAGGGGGACTTATACGGAAAAACATTAGGCCTACTGAAATTTAAAAAAAAAAAGTTAACTGATTTTTAAATTTCATTTCGGTTTAATATGCTTTTTTTCTGAGAAAAAAGTCAGAATTCTGACTGAATTCTAACAGATAACAAACATGTTAAATAAAATTTAAAAATCAGTCTATCTTCCATAGACTTAAGATGATGTAATTTATAAGAAAATAGGCACATCTCATTGCATAGTCATTATGAAGTCAATGGAGTCTATAAACCATGTAATATAACATATTATACAAATCCATCACAATAAAATTTGTGTTTATGTGTTAATGGAGCATAATAAAGATTTACCAAAAGTGCTAAATTGATACATACATGTAATATACATGTATTTATGTTTTTACAGTAATTACATCTTACATGTGTAATACTGATAATACATGCTATATTTATATCTGTGTGTGTATGTGTGAACAGTACAGACCAAAATTTGGACACACCTCATTCAGAGTTTTGATTTCATGACTATGAAAATTGTATATTCACACTGAAGGCATCAAAACTATGAATTAACACATTTGGAAATATATATTTAACAAAGTAGCCACCTTTTGCTTTGATTACTGCTTCACACTCTTGGTATTATTCATGAGCTTCAAGAGGCAGGCAACGGAAATGGTTTTCACTTCACAGGTGTCCCGTCAGGTTTAATAAGTGGGATTTCTTGCCTTATAAATGGGGTTGGGACCATCAGTTGTGTTGTGCAGAAGTAAAGTGGAACAAAAAACTGAATATTTTCCTTCTCTGAGCAGATTCCCTCCATATAAACCATCGCTATAGTGAAACAGAGGCAGCCTTGTACTGAGAGGATGCTTTTTGTTGTAGTGTGTTCAGGGTTATGCGTTCAGGCACTGATTTCCTAACACAAAGGATTTTCCTTGTAAGCCTGAAAATTCTGCATTAATCTGATCTTTAACAATTACTCCTGCGTTGTAAATGGAAAAATCTAGAAGAGCTCGCAGGTATGTAGATGAATAAAGAGCAATTATATTTTGCACAGCACATAAAGCCAACAAAAACAAAAAATAAAGTCACCCACACACACACTTAAAAATTGTATTTATTTTCACATTGTCGGAGTGCTTTTTTTCTTCTTCTGGTTTTCAACAACATTCCTCCAAAAGGTGCTGAAGGCGACTTTGGCCATGAGCAAAGTGATGGTGAAGTTTCGTCTGTACCATTCTCTGGATATGCAGGAGAAAAGATGGAAAATTCTGTGATATTTACTTGCAAAGTGCTGATAAAGTACTGAATTGATGTTTGAAATAAACATTTACATTTAATTATCGTCTATTGGTCGATTATAGCCTAAAACAGTACGGTGAATAACAAAGGCCATTAGACAGGAAAGCAGAAAAACACATCGCATAAAGAGGTGGTGTCTTTAGGAAGGAAACAAGTTGGTGACTTTGACATGTTTGTTAATAAAAATCTCACTGGAGCCCATTATGTTTGTTCTGTGCGTGCAGATTGGCACAACACAGCTAAACCCCTCCCAGCTGGGGCCCTGGGAGGTACAGCAGCATCATCACCTCGGGGACAGAACAATACAAAAACAACTCACTTGTTATAATTTGCGTGTCGTATTCTATTTCTATCCAAGAAGCTTTTGTAAAATACTGCCATATCCTCACTGCTTAGAGTTCGTCGTCTTCCTGGTTGGGGATTCGGGGGTGGAGTTAAACTCATTTGAAAAGAGACAGACAGAAAAACAAAGAGTTGTTTGTTTCGTATCCTCACCATCTTCTCCTCGGAGACTCAAGCCTTTAGCTTTTAGCTGTGAGATGATGAAAGCATCCTTTTCCTGTAGAGAGCAAAATAAGTGGGTTAGGTTTTTAAATTGACTATAATATAACATAAAAAACATAAACCCTTTGAAAGAGGATCCTGAATTAATTTTGTGTGTCTCCCCTGTCTGCCTAAATCCCCAGCTGCTCTCGAGAGAAGGCTGTTCAAAATAAACATGGTTCTCCTTCAAAACAAGAGTTTTCCCACTTTCGCTACATGTACGCTGTTAGGGAATTACTGCAACCTGCTGGACCAATAATAAGAGATGACAGGGCACCTTATCACTGAACGCTGAAACTTAAACTGGACAACATGGCTCCCTTCTTCCTCTAAACTCTAGATTGTTGATTTCCAAATCAAATGTAATTTGGTTTCATCTAAAACAGCGGTTTTCAAAGTGTGAGGCGCGCCTCCCCTAGGGGGCGCCAGAGCACTTTAGGGGAGGCGCGGTGCGAGGGAAAAAATAAATATGTATTTAGGACAAAGTTGGAACTGTGGGGTGCGCGTGTGG